TTTTAATAATTTTTAATGTGCGATGGAAACGGAATTCATCCCTCGCAAATTTGCGACGGATCCTTGATTCCGTCGAACATTTGCGACGGAATTTTCATTTATTCGTCGCAAATTTGCGACGGAATTAACTTTCCGTCGCAAAACGGCGTGGCCGTTCGGCCTCATCCAAAGGCCGGCGAGGTGTCGCCGGTCGCCGGTCGTTAAACCGGTGATGCAGATACCAAAAAAAACAAACATAAACATATATAAAATAAAAGAAATTACAATTCAATGATGAATAGTCACGAAGCTAGCTATGATACTTACCGGTACAAAAGCTTCACCGAGATTAATATGTGCGTGCACGGATTTTGCTGATTTTAGACATATGAAAGAGGGAGAAAAGCGAGAGAGAGCGAGAGAGAGAGATAGGATTGGAATATCACGGGCTGATAAACTACAAATTTGCGGCGGACGTTCGCTTTCATCGCAAATTTGCGACAGATTTGGCGACGGTTTTTTTTTCTGTCGGAAATTTGCGACGAACTTTTTGCGACGGATTTATTTTCCGTTGCAAATTTGCGACGAACTTCTTTCCGTCGCAAATTTGCGACGGTTTTTTTTTCCGTCGGAAATTTGCGACGAACTTTTTTCCGTCGCAAATTTGCGACGGAATTAGCAATGGTTTTTTATTTCCGTCGCAAATTTGCGACTGATAAAAATTCCATCGCAAATTTCCGACGGATTTTTCATCCGTCGCAAATTCTGTCGCAAATTGCGACGGAAATAAACCGTCGCTAATTTGCGACGGAAAATATAATCCGTCGCAAATTTCGTCGCAAATTACATGTTTTTTTTGTAGTGCGATTACTACTTGAGTTTTCTCCACCGAATGATTCATCTGCAACTTGCTTTAGCCATTTCCATTGTCAATAAAGTCCAAACTCAACCCAGAAATTATAATCCTACTGTGGCTTCATGACCAAGTCCAAGAGGGAAATCATCCCACGAGTTGAACTGTCAATTGTCCCTCGCCGGGCTGCAGTCACTGAGCCCGGAGAGGGATGCTGGACCGTCGCCTGTGCCTAGGCGGTGGTGGCCCTTCCTCTTCCTCTCTCCCTCTTTTCTGTAGGTTTATTGCGACATCAGTAATTCTATTCAGCATTGACACCGGTTGAAACTGATGTCGCTCTGACTTTGACTGTCAGGTTAGCATATTTGCAATCAATTTGACGGAAGGATTTAAGTTGAACAAGAACGCGTATAGTCAATCATCCAATTCAACAAAAAGTAAATTTCGGGGATTTGATCATACATTGCAAAAATTCAGGGACTAGTGGTGTCTCCATCCCGTGAATAAAGGATTCATCATTTGATCAACGACAATTTTAAAAAGAAGAAACTGTATGATTGTGACATCCTGAAAATTGGTCCATTTGGGATTTATAAAATACTGAGTTTTATGAAAGTGCTCGTAGTTAGTTCTTACCCGGAACTGATCATTCCTGGGATACTAACCATCAGGGAAAGGCTAACTAGGGATTTAAAATTCGTACAACTAAAGAAAATTCGATCGTGGATTGACTTTCGACAATGAAATCGTCGAGGTGATATTTTGAGCACTGTTGATCGATCCAAGGATAGCCAGGGGTCAACTCACCACTGTCAGAGTAGTGGATCGCGGGTGATACCGCCGGACCACGAAATGAATTGATGAATGATCCTGAACCTATACCGAACGATCGTATCCCTCGGATCTAGTAATTGATCATCGCGATTTTAATGACAACCGAGGTCGTCACGAACCGAATAAATTTGCACGTGACTCGATTTAGTATCAGTCACAGGTCGACTATATGAATTTTCCCAAAAAGCCACCCGTTAGTTTGAGAAACGCTCGAGTTGCGTTTAATAAAATTTGATTATTTAATTTAGCCCAAATCGGACACCGGAAAAATTTGGAAGTCACAACGGGACATTAGGACGACGTTGCGGTTGGAACGTGTAATTTTGGAATGTCCCGAATCCTTCAGAAAAAAATTCATTTTGATGAGAAACGGAGAAAGTGATCATTTTACCCTTGGAAATTTCTAAAGGGCTAGTTTTATGGAGCAAGGGCGTTTTGGTAATTTTGCCCAAAAATTTGGAAAAGACAATTTTGCCCTTGGAATTTTTGAGAAATTATAAGATTACCCTTGGATATTTTGGGTAAGATTCGATCTGGGCCGTCGATCTCGAGATAAGATCGAATTTGGACCGTCGGATGAAAAGATTAAAGAGGGGCATTTTGGTAATTTGTCAAGTTGGTCAAAATTTGACTATTTAAGTCAAATTTCTCTCTCTCTCTCTCCTCACTCATTTCCCCTCCCCCACGGCTCCCCCTCTCTCTCTTCTCTCCCCCTTCCACCGTGAGCTCCCCCTCTCGCGTGTCGCCGCCGCGCCGCCGTCCGGACCGCCGCCGCGCCGCGCCGCCGCACCACCCATCCGCCGAGCCTCACGCCACCCTCACCCCACTGTGATTCTCTCTCTCCCTCTCGATCTCCCTCTCTTGGCCGTGAGTCCCACCGGCCGCCGCCCAAGTCACCGTCGCCCGCCGTTCCGCCCGATCACCGCCGATCGTCACCGCCGCTGCAAGCCGCCGTTAGATCTTGGTTTGGCCGCCGCTTTCGCTCTAACCGTGTTAGTTTAGAGCTCGGTAAGTCACGATCTAAACCCCGCCTAGTATATCGGGTTATTTCGGACCCGTTTAGATGCGATTTGGTGGAAATTAGGAATTAATTGGATTAGCGGGCCTTAGGTGCGAAATCAGGAAGATTTGGTGGAATTTTAGAGGTCGATTGATGGCTGTGATTAGCTGTTTAGTGTGCTGTGACGGGCTGTTCGGTACGTGGTTAGTACCATTAGGTCCGGCTCGGAATTTTATGAAAGTGCCGTGAAGAGCCGGGAATGAAATATTGTGATTTTAAGTGTGAAAATGACAGATTGATGGCTGTGCTGTGCAGTTCTATGTGCTGTGATGTGCCATGGACATATGGTTTGTACTGTTAGGTCCGGTTCGGAATTTCGTGAAAGCGTCGTGAAGAGCCGGGAGTGAAATATGGTGATTTTGGGGGCGAAAAAGGGTGATTGATGGCTGTGATGGGTTGTGTTATGTGCTGTGGGGTGTTGTTTGTTGTGTGGTTGGTACCGTTAGGTCCGGCTCGAGATTTTGTGAAAATGCCGTGAAGGGCCTGAACTGATTTGATAATGCTTGGGTGTGGAAAAATGCCAGTTTGTGTGTTGATCGTGTGTTTCGTGATATGACGGTGTGGTTGTGATGTATTGGTGCAATTGTGTGCACGGAATTTAATGAGAATGTGTGTGAGCTTGAGAATGGGATCAGGCCGAGGCATTATAAACTCGGGTCGCGATCACGTAGGCCTGTCGCATTTGGCGCAGGCTGAGGATCGAGGAAATGGGAAATGAGATTGGCCCGGGGCATGATCAGCTCGGGTGAGAATGGGATCGGGCCGAGACGTTATAAAACTCGGGTCGCGATCACGTAGGCCTGTCGCATTTGGCGCGGGCTGAGGAATGGGATCGGACCGAGGCGTGTGATGCTCGAGGCGCGATCGTGTGGGCCTGAGGCGTGTTTACGCGGGCCGAGGAAAGTGGGATCGGGCCTGAGGCGTGTTTACGCGGGTCGCGATGGCAAGTTAATGAAAATGATGTGATTGGTGCGTGACCGAGTGTGGAATGTGGGATTGGAAATGTGGTGTGTTCGATGTGTACGTAGGCTTGAGAATGCGAGTGATTTATAGTGCGTGTGGTTGAGATGCGTGTGAGAATTGTTTGTTTTGATTGCGGACTAATGTGCAGGCTGTTTATGCCAAGAGTCTAGGTTAGTATGATCGTGTGGATGACGATGTTTGTGTTTATTGCTTGGTTGTGTCTGGATATGTCTGGAATACGTGGTAGCCTAGGTAGGGTTTAGGTTGTGACTTATTGAGAAGTGTCTCATGGTTGTTTCAACCAAACTATTTCAGAGCACCCGCCCGAGCCTTGAATCTTTCGTCGCTACCGCCGCAGCGTTTTGGGGATCCCGATGCACACCGAGCATTCAGGAGTAGAATATTCCGTGGCTGCAAATCCCTTTTGAGGTCGAGGACGCGATCCGTAGAAGCCAGTTGGTGTGCGTGTATTATAAGTTTGATATTAAATTAGTGAGTGTTTGATGTGAATAGTTGGTGGTGTAATCAGGAAATCCGTTCGGGTGTGTACTATCAGTTGATGTAAATCTGAGGAGTGTTGGAAGTATTTGGTTGTAAAGAATTGGATGTTGTATATTTATATATCGAGGTATAGTATTCTATTTGGTAGTTTAGTAGTCTGCTTCTTCCTGGTTCTCCAATATTATTGTCCGGGATAATATGATTTGTTTTCGCCGCGAATTTACTCTGATGGAATCTTTGGGTTGGCGACGATTTCCTGGGACGTCGCGCTGATTCGACCTGAGTAAGGGATGCCGCGCGCTCGATGGGGTTCGGGGCGTGACATCACGGTTTAATTGGTATCAGAGCAGGACAAGTCGATTTAAGATGATCAGAGCTTGGAGTGATAAGGAGTGGAGACCTAGGATAGTGATAGCAGGTTGGAGAAACCTTAGTGAGCCATAGATATACCTAGTGCTACACGTTTTCCAGACTGTTTGTTGTGATTGTGAATGATTAATTGTAATAATGGTTGGAGTGCAGGTGCATCTGGACTCGAGGTAAGTGCACGAACCCAATTGATGTAGTTTGGTGCTGTATGATTGATTGCCTGTTAAGTGGATTATTGTGTTAATTCACTACCTAGGGATAGAATGGATCAGTTGGCCTAGGTCCCTAATTTCTTAGTGGAATTACAGCAGGTAGGAGAGTAGTAGAATTGAGATGATGAGCAGCGAAGGAAGAGGTGTAGGAAGAGCCCCAAGAAGGGGCGCAGGAAGAGGAACCAGAGGTCGAGGTCGTGCTCGAGCTAGAGCTGTAGAAGACCTCAGAATGGATGCTAGAGCGATAGAAAATCCAGGAGTTGGTGCTGGGGTTGCAGGGGAACCCAGAGTCGATGTTAGACCTGTAGAGGACCCTAGAATGGAAGCGGTCATGAGGACCCTAGAGCAGATTGGTAATATAATAGGACAGCAGACTCAGGAACGAGCTGCTACGATTGCCCAAGCTGCCGAGGCCGCTGCGGACGCTGTTGCTAATAATAATGGAAATCAAGGGCAGGGGCAAGTGAATGTGAATAGACCAATGCACCAACTGGTCGAGCAGTTTATGAAGCTAAAACCGCCTAAGTTCTCTGGGAAAGGTGATCCTGAGGCTGCACCTCGATGGGTAGAAGAACTCGAGAAAGCTTTTGAGGTGTTAGAGTGTACTGATAACGAGAAAGTAATCCTGGCAGTGTATTAATTATAGAATAACGCGAATGATTGGTGGAAGGCCATCAAAGATAGGATATTTCCAGAGGGTACAGCCCGGACTTGGGCTGCCTTTACTGAAAGTTTTTATGAGAAGTATTTCTCAGCCAGTGCTAGGGAGAGAAAGCTCGCAGAGTTTATGAGACTCCACCAAGGTGAGATGACAGTAGATCAGTATGAGGCAGAATTTGCGAGGTTGTCTAAATTTGCGCCGAGAATGGTGGAGCATCCCGATGATAAGGCGCGAAGATTTCGGGATGGATTGAAGGCTGACATTCGCAGCCAGTTATTACTGGTAAATCTGAGGACGTATGAAGAGATATTTGATAGGGCCCAAATTCTTGAGTGAGATCATATGGATAGGGCCGCAGCTTCTGGGTCGAGATTTGTCCAGGGTAGCGACAATCGTAATCTTGGGAAGAGGCCGATGCTGGATAATAGACGTTTTACCCCTTCCGTTAGACGGAATATTGGGAAACCTGCCCGTTTTTAGAATGGTCCATGTCGGGTATGTGGAGAAAGGCATGGAAATGGACCGTGTCTGAGTAGGAATATGGTATGTTACAGATGTGGCGGAATGGGCCATCAAGCAAGAACTGCCCTAATAATAGACAGGCTAGACCGCCAGCATTACCGCCGCTGCCCAGAGTTGGAAATCAAGTTGGGCTGCCTGTACCCCCGAACCAGAATAGGCCACCGGCCCAAGGACGAGTTTATGCAATGGCCAGAAGGGAAGCAGAGAATGCGCCAGACGTGGTTACAGGTACGGTTCTCTCTGTGATCATGCTGCATATGCTTTATTTGATCCAGGGGCATCACATTCATTTGTGTCTGATCAATTTGTTAAATTGACTAGTATGGAACCGCGACTGCTTGATATGATGTTGTGTGTGACTACCCCCCTTGAATGATAAGATTCTAGTTTCGTTGGGGTGTCCCGATTGCAAGATTGTAAATGGGTGATAGAGAAGAAATAATTGATTTAACAGTACTAGCGATGTATGACTTCGATGTGATAGTGGGGATGGACTGGCTAGTTAAGCAGAGGGCAATGATGGATTGTGGTAGCAGGGTGATCCAATTTAATCCTGTTGGATATCCGGAATTCAAAATTGTAGGAAGCCGAGGAGGGACCTCGATTCCTTGAATTCGTCATTGGAAATAACGAAATTGTTGAGTGAAGGGTGTGAAGGATTTTTAGCAGCTGTAGTGGATTCGACGGCTAAGGAGTCGAGGCTAGAAGATATAGCTGTGGTGCGCGATTATCCCGATGTCTTTCCTCAGGAATTGCCGGGATTACCACCAAATCGGGAAGTGGAGTTTGTGATCGAGTTGGCACCTGGGACGGAGCCAATCTCGAAAGCACCTTATAGGATGTCGTTATTGGAATTGAAGGAGTTGAAGGTGCTGATGCAGGAATTATTGGACAGAGGATTTATCCGTCCAAGTGCGTCTCCATGGGGAGCGCCGGTTTTGTTTGTAAGGAAGAAAGATGGATCGCTGAAGTTGTGCATAGATTATCGACAGCTGAATCAGATGACGATTAAGAATAAGTATCCTCTGCCAATGATTGATGATTTGTTTGATCAGCTGCAAGGGGCTTCGGTATTCTCTAAGGTTGATTTGAGAACAGGATACCACCAGTTGAGGATTAGAAAAGAGGATATACCGAAAACGGCGTTTAGGACGAGGTATGGACATTACGAGTTTACTGTAATGCCGTTTGGATTTACGAACGCCCCCGCTGCGTTTATGGATTTAATGAACAGAGTGTTCAAGGAATTTTTAGACCAGTTTGTGATAGTCTTTGTAGACGATATATTGGTGTATTCGAAGAGTTCAGAAGAGCATGAATTCCATTTGAGTAGGGTTTTGCAGACTTTGAGAGAGAACGCATTGTATGCTAAATTTAGCAAGTGCGAGTTCTGGCTCAACCGAGTCGCGTTTCTTGGACATATGATTTCGGGAGATGGAATCTCGGTAGATCCGGCGAAGATTGAGGCCGTAATGGAATGGCCGAGGCTAACGGCAGTAACTGAAGTTCGAAGCTTTTTGGGTTTAGTCGGATATGACGGTGGTTGTGATGTATTGGGTGCAATTGTGTGCACGGAATTTAATGAGAATGTGTGTGAGCTTGAGAATGGGATCGGGCCGAGGCATTATAAACTCGGGTTGCGATCACGTAGGCCTGTCGCATTTGGCGCAGGCTGAGGATCGAGGAAATGGGAAATGAGATTGGCCCGGGGCATGATCAGCTCGGGTGAGAATGGGATCGGGCCGAGACGTTCTAAAACTCGGGTCGCGATCACGTAGGCCTGTCGCATTTGGCGCGGGCTGAGGAATGGGATCGGACCGAGGCGTGTGATGCTCGGGGCGCGATCGTGTGGGCCTGAGGCGTGTTTACGCGGGCCGAGGAAAGTGAGATCGGGCCTGAGGCGTGTTTACGTGGGTCGCGATGGCAAGTTAATGAAAATGATGTGATTGGTGCGTGACCGAGTGTGGAATGTGGGATTGGAAATGTGGTGTGTTCGATGTGTACGTGGGCTTGAGAATGCGAGTGATTTATAGTGCGTGTGGTTGAGATGCGTGTGAGAATTGTTTGTTTTGATTGCGGACTAATGTGCAGGCTGTTTATGCCAAGAGTCTAGGTTAGTATGATCGTGTGGATGACGATGTTTGTGTTTATTGCTTGGTTGTGTCTGGATATGTCTGGAATACGTGGTAGCCTAGGTAGGGTTTAGGTTGTGACTTATTGAGAAGTGTCTCATGGTTGTTTCAACCAAACTATTTCAGAGCACCCGCCCGAGCCTTGAATCTTCCATCGCTACCGCCGCAGCGTTTTGGGGATCCCGATGCACACCGAGCATTCAGGAGTAGAATATTCCTTGGCTGCAAATCCCTTTTGAGGTCGAGGACGCGATCCGTAGAAGCCAGTTGGTGTGCGTGTATTATAAGTTTGATATTAAATTAGTGAGTGTTTGATGTGAATAGTTGGTGGTGTAATCAGGAAATCCGTTCGGGTGTGTACTATCAGTTGATGTAAATCTGAGGAGTGTTGGAAGTATTTGGTTGTAAAGAATTGGATGTTGTATATTTATATATCGAGGTATAGTATTCTGTTTGGTAGTTTAGTAGTCTGCTTCTTCCTGGTTCTCCAATATTATTGTCCGGGATAATATGATTTATTTTCGCCGAGAATTTACTCTGATGGAATCTTTGGGTTGGCGACGATTTCCTGGGACATCGCGCTGATTCGACCTGAGTAAGGGATGCCGCGCGCTCGATGGGGTTCAGGCCGTGACAATGATCCTTTGAGAAACACTGTAATACTCTTCAATTCTACATATTCATATGGCGTAAATGGCAGAAGGAGGACAAAATTGTTAGGTGGTCCAAACGCATGTGATCCGCAGTTCACATGATCTAAAGAGGACCCGTAGTGATGGGTGAATGTATATTAGACTTGATCACAGCAGGTGGGCAGACGAGTGACTGGCTTCGCTAGGTAAGTCGGCATGTCATCTCCGGCCATGATCACCACGAGCTTCGGCTCTGCATCCAACGGCGTGATCATGGCCTTCGGCAGCTTCTCGTCAGCTTGGTGCGATTCTCCGGAAGGGCGCTTCCGACACGAGCATGCCAACATGATCAGTGATGCAGATATGAGGATCAACGTTAGAGCCAGTCCTCCAAAGAGATATGGAATCGGAGAGCTCCATATCTGGGTGCTTGACATAGAGCTTCTTGTAGCTTCCATCTCTCTCTAACGTCGCTCTAAGCTTTTGAAATTTTTTTGGCTTTCTCTTTTTTTGGTGGGTGATGACTCTTACCAGAGGATGGTGTTTCTTTGCGGGATTTTGCAGTGAGAATTTGAGGGAAGGTGGCGAATGAATTTATAGGGTGAATTTCTGCACTGTCCACTGTGCCGTTTTCTTCCATGGGTGTTTCTATGTTGCTTCCGAGAATGCTTGAACACCCACTGCGACTTTATTTCCCCCTAAAAAAACAAAGAGGAAAAAACGAACAGTAGTCCACGTGTATGAATAGCCTTTTTTTGGGTTTGGTAGTCCGGACATTTTTACCGGATAGGACTAGGATATATATGATAGAATTTGAAATATTCTATACAGACTTACCAAACAAAATATCTTGTACAGTGTTTGGTGATATCCGGATATAACATGGATTCAGACAAATATTATCTAAATCAGAGTTTGAAATACATGGGCGGTCTCACTCAACTCATATCTCTCGCTCTCTCTCATGGTCGGTGGTGAAGGAAGATGATACACCACATATCATCCTCATCTTCATCCTCTAGCAATGACAAGAGGTTAATAATTCCACATCTGGTGTGCGCTACTGCAGTTCTTTGTTTTCTTATTTTGGTTGCTTAGTCTTCCTTCTTTGCAGGTCGCCTTTTGGATTAATACTCTGAAATCAATACTTGAGTCCTCCACGGCTGAACTCAAATCCTTTGTTTCCTTAGTGAAATTCTCCTTTGAAATAGAGTAAAAAAGACTATTACCCAAAATTGAATTTCAAAGAAAAAATATAAAACTCACAATTCGTTACCACAGGAACTTGTCGACGACGCAAAGCACTAAGCAAGTACGAGACGTAGATCTAGAAAGTCCAAAGAAATAGAACTAGATTCCGGTAAGCAACCCCCTTTCGATGACCCATCGTCACCAAATTAAATGGGTCGTAAGGACGAACCGTTCTTGGAGAGCCCATCAATTTAACCCATCACCGCCATCCTTTTATTCAGAGTGAAGCAAAAAAAGAGCATGATTTAAAACAAGAACAGTGTTTATCAAAACTCTCGATGACAAGCAAAATTTTGCCAAATAGAATAAGACCTTCTGCCGATAGAAAAGAAAACTAAAAATTGTTGGAGGAAGTCAACACTTTGGATGGTTGCTAGTGACAGCTGAAGCAATGATCTAAGGCGATGGCATTCGGGGTCGAGGGCAGTGGTGGCGAGCCGGCGGCGAAGAGAGATCGCCTGAGATGTGTAGACCTGTCGAGGACAACCTAGAGTCGTGAGGAGCAAAGTGAGTCCATAGGATTTTTCTCCCTTTTTTCTATCTTCTTTTCCTGAATTTTTCCATATTAGATATTCTATATGGCTTTATCTCACCCCTTAGGTGGGATTTCTTTATCCGGATTATATCCGGACATATCCAAATTCAATGTTCTCCCAAACCCCTGATAGGATAAAAATTATCCTAACCCACCAAACGCGTTGACTTTTGAAGGGGGAAAAGTTAACTCTTGAGAAGCCGAAGGGCAAGATGAAGTTTTATATGAAAATCAAGGAGAATCCATGCACTGTCCACCAGCTTA